CACTCTGACATCTCTCCACTTAGTGCATGTATAGGTCCAGTTTGTGCATGTGTGTGTTCGGACCTGTGTGTAATTGACAAACAGGGTGAAAAATTGAATTGAATTTCCCCTCGGGGATTATAAAGTATATAAAAAAATAAATAGAACACAGCATAATAACAACATAGTGTGCTAATATGGCTGCATTGTGGTGCAGTGGTTAGCATTGTTTCCTCACAGCAAAAAGGGGTCCTGGTTCAAACCCTGGGGTGGGGGAAGCCTCCCTGTTCTCCCTGTATCCACATAGGTTTTCTCTTTCTACCCTGGCTTCCTCCCACAGTCCAAAAAGGTAATTGGTGACTCTATAATGCCTGTAGGTGTGAATGTGAGCGTGAATGGTTGTCTGTCTCTATGTGTCTGCCCTGCAATAGTCTGGTCACCTGTCCAGGATGTGCCTTGCCTCTCACCCAATGTCAGCTGGGATAGGCTCCAGCCCCCCACCCCCCCTGCAACCTCCAACATGATAAGCAGTTACAGAAAATGAATCAGTGCCCCCTAATATGTGTAGCACACTATGCTTGAGACATATGTCACATGACGTGTTCTTACATGAGTAACAAAGGTACTTATAATAAGCTAAACTATGATGTTTCTTTTACTAAATCTAACCACGTGCTTTTGTTGCCAAAAACTAAGAAAGTAAATTAAAAAAACAACATTTTTTACTTACATTTTAAGTTTGTTTTGAAAAGAGACTGTGTGCATGTAATGAACGGATGCTGCATCCCTGAGTATCCAAAACTGATGCTGGAGGACTGGGCTACATTGAGCATCATAGATTGACACGTAAGGCCACTGACCAAGCGTCAGCATTCGGCGAGTTCGGAGTGAGAATGTGTGCAATATGTCATGTCTCCAAAATAAAACAAAATAATAATCATACAATTATAATATGGAAAATCTGGATGTAAATATTATTGATTAGATGCAAATATGTATGAAGAAAATGAATCCATAGGATGTCAAGAAACTTTTAGGTGCACCAAACAGATAGAACCTGAGTCAAACCTCTCCAAATTCAACAGTGTGCACCTCCAAACTGTGTTTCAGTAAGTCAGTATTGTAGCACTGTCTTTTTTTTTTTTTTTTTTGAGAAGTGCAGGGCAACACGTGTACAACATGTGGATAAGAAGGAGACTAGCAGTAAAGCTAATGTGGTTGTTGTCAAAGTCTGTGGCTCTTGTATTGTGCAGCAGGCTGCTGTCTGGCTGTTTGTCAGAGTGACTCTGCTTTGCCTGTGATAGAGCGGTGATGTTACTGCTTTATGCAAATAGAGTTTAAAATGGCTCAAATTTGATTGACTGTATGGAAACAAGTTCTGCATCTTTATAGATAAAAATGAAAATATATAAATGTAGTCCTTTCAGTTTCTGATCATTTTCTCAAATGAGAGGACATGGTGTGATTTACAGAGCAGATATGTATGCTGTAGCAGACAAAAACATGCAGTTTATTTTCAGGCGGACTTAAAATAATACCTTGATTGTAGAAAATTGACTGAAATGGAAGCAATAAAGAAATTAGACAGGTGTAAGCAGAAAGGTAGAAAGAGGTACATCAGAGAAACACAGTACAGGAAACTATTGTCATACAGACAAGTGCATAGAAAAAAACGTTGCATGGAAAAAGTTTGCGAACACAATTTTTATTTTATTGTTGTTGTTTGCAATGTTTAGAGATGGGGAGAAAAACAGTGATGATTATGAGTGAGCCACTGAGAGAAAGAGATGGGGTAAAGAAAAAGCATGTTGAGAGAGGGCAAACATCTTGCCACCCATTTGCTGATTTATTTGTTCCCCTCCTTCAGCCCCTCTCTCTCCTCCCCTCTGTTTATACCCCACCATCAAAGTTCGGCCCCTTGAGTCTAATCCACAGCCGCACAGGCCCGGGCACACACAGCGTGAAAAACCAGATCAGCGCGCTGAGCTTCAGCCAGTTTCTTCTGAAGATTCACAGGGTTTAATGAAGCACAGTCTGAAGTGAACGCTAAATCATTCACACACACATATACACATACACTCATGTTTGGTACAGCTGTATCTTTCAACATAATTAGAGCATATGTGATGTGAAATGCCACGGAAATGGGAAGGTGTCATGACAGAGATTTATAAGGGAAATAGATAAAGACAGAAACAGACAGAGAGAGAGGTGGGAGCGGTGACACAGTCATCTGATATCCTGGCTTTGAATCTGCAAGTGTGAAGTCACTCAGACACGGTTACTACTACTTATAAAACCAGCTCCCTGCCAGAGCTTAAAGCTTATAACAGGCATGTGTATATTCCTCCATTAGTGACATCGTAAATCGTTCTTAAAAGGTCACACTTCTGTCTTTCTATGTGTGTATTTTAGTATAACATATGTTCATAAGTGCAATTCTAGTTTCCAAACACACAATGTGTCAGGCTGATTATTTGATTTTATTGAGATATACAGGCTTTATCAAATTATAACAGCCTCACCCTCCACTATTCTTCCTCTTTTGGCTGTCCCACTGCTCTACATGCAGCAGCAGATTCATCAGGGAGGAACCGGCTGCTTGGGCCACATTCTCACTACGACCTTGTCACATATCAATGTTTGGTCATGGAATCCAGATACAACGTGCAAGGTACCCTGGGTGCGTTAGTTGTTGACGTTCTGGGACACCATGTCAAGTTCTGCATGTTACATGCATTGTCTTCTTTCAAAATACACTTCCGTTTTCACAGGAAATGTAACGTTTACATAGTGTCTCTTTCAAAATAAAAGCACTACGCCAGTACAACAAAGCGAATAGACGTTTTTTCTCCTTCAGCAACTAACGCACATGGTTGAGTTCAGGCAACAAAAGCACATGGTTAGATTTAGGAAAAAAGAACAGGGTTTGGCTATATAATCTTATGGGATGTGAACACCGCTCTCCCAGGTGAAAGTTGGTGTATCTTGGACCCATCCACAACCACATCCTCCTGCCCTACTCAGACTTTCACTGCCTTAACTTTCATTCTTGTCCCGCTGCGTTTCCCCCCTGATGCAACCGAGCGCAGTTAAACTATAATGATGTAATACATGCCGATGTTAAAGCACAGCTTTTTTCATCTGTGTCTGACGCCACAAGTCACTGCCCAAACACTGGATTTTGGCAACTTCAGAATGAGACTGGGTTGGAAGGGGTTGTTTATTTGTTCACATAGAGTCACCTTTATTGTATATAATGAACTAGATGCACATCCATATGCAACATTGCACTTAATCATCACTCATTACATGGTGTTAAATACACATAGCAGTCAAGATAGGCACAACATGGCCTCAATAATGAATGTGTGGTGTGATTCCAGGTGGACTGAAAAACCTCTGCTCATTTGAGAAGCTTTTAATGAATAATGCACTAAGTCATGGAGTACCTGTACCCCCGGGGAGTGCCACAGTTTCCAGGAGGCACACGGAAAGACGATGAAGCAGCTCCGGTAATTTGAAAGAAAATCTGAGTTAAAAAAGAAAAACAAATCCACACATTTGTGTTTGGGAGGAATAGACATAAGCAGGGATACAAGTGGGTGTGAGGCTGATCTATTTAGTGTGACAATCTGGTTCTGTATAGGAAAGGACAGAGGACAAGAACGGGTGGGAAAGTCTGAGGGCATCTGCTGGATGGATGGAGAATGACAATGCAGGGGGCTGAGGAAGTAAGAAAAGGGATTGTGCTTATAACTGTTAAAAAGCATCCAGTTTTAAATCCATTCAACAAATTCTGAATATGAATGTGTCGATTAAAGACTACCTGAGCTCTCCTGATAATACTGTGAGGGTGAACCTAAAAATGGTTTAGGGACCATTGCTTATAATTACTTATTCTTAGTGCACATCAATGTTATATATTGTTTAATATTCATAACATGCAAACCTACCTTTAGTAAATGAGCATGTTCACAAGGACACATCAACAGTAGCTTTACTAAACTGACTGCAGACTGGTGCTGAATCTGGGACATTTGAGTTTCACATTGTGTTTATAATCACCTCATATTATTGCTAATTCTGATTCAGGCAAAGAGCACCCAGTCCTCTTGTCCTTGTGAAGCGAAGTGTGAAAATCAACAATTATGAAGTCCTAAGTAAACTTGCTATTAACTAATCAATGCAACATGTCATTTCTGTAATTGTGTTCTGCTCATCAGCCGCCTACTTGTTACTGCCTGAAAGAGGCCATCAGTCGCACACCATTGTGTTTCACAGGGCAATTCAAAAACATTCAATAACCATCACAAAAGGTTCTCTTTGTGGGTTTGACAGACTGAATTGAACGTGATTGGATTTTTAAATGTGTCTGCAACGGGGGAATCTGATTACGTTTCAGAGGCAAAAGAAATTCTCGTGCTGTTTGGAGTGAGGCGGGAACACAGTTAATGCATGAGTTAGTCTGAACACAATAAAGAGACATTTTCACAATAAACCCATATAAACCTCTTCAGGGCTAAAGTGAAAAGAGATGAGAGCAGCTGATAAGTGCTTGTGGTGAAAATCTGCTAACCTTGAAGCCACTGTGAGATGACAGCCTCCCCCCACCTCCTCAGTGCTCCTCTCACACTGTACGTCTCCTGCTAATGTCCTGATATCTGAGTCTAATCATTGATTGATGCAGCTCACTAAGAGCTACAGAATGATAAAGTAATAGTCATAATTAATGCAAGGATCCATTAGGGCCATCTTAAAGTGTCATAACTAAGATATCTGATGCATTAAATCAGAGGTGATGCAAATTGAACTGGGACATGACCTACTCTCTTTTCAATGATTCCCTAGATGACAAACTACAGACTAGGTTCTAAGGCCTAGTCCACACAGACACGGGTATTTTTGTAAATTGGGTTTTCCCCCTTCTGCATTCTCAAAAAAAAAAACACTATTAAAAAAAAAATCTCAGGCTGAATGAAAACACAAAAACACAAGTGAAACACTGTCAAGAGCATGCCAAACCCACAGGCAGCGCTATAACTGAACCCTAGAGCCACACCAAAAAAGAAGATATTAGGCAGTTAGAGGTGTGGAGAAAAAAGAGTTACAGCATGGTTGAAAGCTTGTGGTGTGACTAATTAGAACAGAGGGCAGAAAGTAATAAATCCATATGCTGAGTGATTGGAAATAGAGGAACGTGGTCACATTAAAAAGGTTGGATGAACCTGCAGGCAGCAGGTATTGTTGGAAAATTGAAACTCATGTTGGACGTGATCCAGACAAAATGAAGACAAGTGATTTTTCCACACCTTGACTGACTTGCCTGGTGTGGACACAGCCATCATTACAAATGACCTCAACCTCCTGACCTCCTAACTTAACACACATTACACAGCGAGCTGATGAAAGTGTACAAGAGTCTAGTGGACTATAATTATTTTGTGTGCAGTTCTGCACACAGCTGAAAATACTGCCATCTTGTTTTTGGTTGGGTGACTAGACATGCTTGAGTATAAGTCTTTTTTATATCAACTCATGGATGCACCGCTGTCAGGCTAACTTTACCAGCTAATGTTAGCTAACTTTAGCTACTATTTTCTACCTACTAGGTTAACAGTTCCCAGAGGTCTGGTGAAACGCTAAATAAAAATCAGGGTCAAGTTGTTACAGCACATTGTAAATGCATCCAACTGAGGACATGTTTAACCAACCTGGTCTCACTCCAAAGTCATCGAAATCCAGTGTTTGGGCAGTGACTTACGGCGTCAGACATGGACAAAAAAAAGCTGCTCTGGGGCGTCGGTAGCGTAGTGGATAGTGCCGGCGCCCCATGTATAGAGGTGATGCCTCCGGCTCCGGCTTGCCACCCTTTGCTGCATGTCGTCCCCCCACTCTCTCTGTCTCCCCATTTCACACTGTCCTGTATATTAAAGGCAAAAAGCCCAAAAAATAATCTTTAAAAAAAAAAAAAAAAAAAAAAGCTGTTTTCTAACGTCAGCATGATACGCAGCTGGACGCCATTATAGTTTACAGTGCTCAGCAGTGTCAGGCGGAAACGCAGCAGGACAGGGACGAAACTTATGATGGTTCAAGTCCAAATAGGGCAGGTGGGAGAGATGGTGGATGGGTCCAACAAACACTAGCTTTCACCCAGGAGGATGGTGTTCGCGTCATGTGAGATTCTAAAGCCAAACCCTGTTCTTTTTTCCTAAACCTAACCACATGCTTTTGTTGGCTAAACCTAACCATGTGCGCTAATTGTTGGAGGGAAAAAATGTCATGGCATTATTGTACTGATGTAGTGTGTTTATTTTGAAAGAGACTGCATGTAAATTGCGAGTTTCTTGTGAAAACGGAAATGTAACTTGACATGGTGTCCCACAGCGTCAACAACCAACACACCCACGCATCTGGACATGGAAGGTCCATGATCAAATGGCGATATGTGACGAGGTCAGAGTGAGAATGTGTTGATCTCTATAGCGCATTCTGAGTTTCTGAAAACCTTCACCCTGGACTGAGTTTTACAAAAGGTTTGTTTTTAGTGACTTACAACACAGTTTGGACATGGACAAAAGGCCAACATACATTTAAAAAATATATACATTCACAAAAATATCCACATCTGTGAGGACAAGGCCTGAATCCTAATAAAATCAACAACAGACTTTCTAACAAGGCTGCTCAGTTCAGTTCCAGCCCTTATCTGTCAGTCATTTATTACACTGACCACTTTTTCCTCCTCATGACACATCAGACCGCTCACAACCAATCCTATCTCCTGAATTACATGTGACATTTTGCCAACCTAGGCACTGTACTGTTGTTTAAAGGCCATTTTTTGGCACCAACCACTCACTCATCTGCTACCACGTCTCAAATAAGTTCTCCTTCTCAAAGTGACAATGCCTGCAGGGAAGTGTGTTCAGACGTATTTGCGTTTGTAGCGTTTGAATTAGCCCCTTTGAAGAGAGTAATATGAATGCAAAGTGATGGGGAAGGAGACGTCTGCAAAGGTGTAGCGTTTTATCTGCCACACACGTTCTTTGTGTCCTCACATCGGATCGGGAAGGGTTAGAGGACTTCAGGGGTCGTTTTCCATTAAAGGATCTCATTCGTTTTACGCCCTCCCTGGGAGCTACACACCGACTTCAAAGCTGTTGGTGGAAACAGTCTTAACTGGGTTCTATTCTTGGGCCTCCATCCTTTTAAGTGCTGGCTTTGCATGTCACACACAACACACATACACAAAGATTTTTCTCTTGTTCTTTTTTTCTGAAAATAGTTGAAAGTCTGTATTTGACAAGAAGAGTGTTCAGTAGCTTACCTGCATGTGTTGAATATACTTAGGCCACAGTAATGGGAGCCATATATAGGGCTCTTTAAGGCTGCATTTGGGCACAGTGGTGTTTTTAGCTAAATGCTAACATGCTCACAGTAACTCTGGTAACATGCTGATCTTAAGTTTTACCATGCTCACCATCTTAGTTTAGCATGTAGGCATGCTAGTATTTGCTAATTAGCACTAAGTGTAGTTGAGGTTGATGAGAATGTCATCATTTGGTAATAAACTAAAGAACTGAAGAAACTGAAAACATAAAAAGTCAGGGGATCACCAAAGTTATTACAATTAATCCTGAGGAGAACATGAATGGGTGTACTCATAATGGCAATGAATCCAACAACTGCTGAGACATTTCACTCAAAACTACAAATGTGAACCTCATGGTGGTGCTCAAGGTAAAGTCAAGGGAACACTGAAGTCTCTGTTGCCATATTTCATTCAAAGCCAAACACGTCAACCCCCTGGTGACACCAGAGGAAAGGTCGGGGGATCACCAAAGTCAGGCGTCATCCTCTGAGGACCATGAATGTCTCAACAAACATTCATGGAAATTCATGCAGTAGGCCTTATTGTTGAGATATCTGGGCCAAAGTGGTGGACACTGGCTGAAAACCATAAACACAGTTTGGGCGTTGTTATTCAACACCAGAGATAGGCGAAACCAAACCTTTTTTAATTTGATATGATATGGATACTTCTCATTAAAATTACAACTATACCAATACTGATCATTTCTTTCAAAAATAATGGTCTCTTATTGCTGTTGTGTGGAACTTTATTGTCTAAAATAGTGCACCTTGCCGCATTTTTATCTATGATATGAAAAGTAGCGCCACACCAGACTATGTTTCCTTTCTGCCATATTTTATGTGGAGGTGTGTGACTGTGCCTGATGTCACAACCCAGTCTCACTCCCAAGTTGTTGAAATCTGCGGTGTCAGACACTGATGAAAAAAGCCGTCCTTGGACGTCTGCATGATACGTGGCCAATCGCCATATAGTTTAACAGTGCTCTGCAACGTGACGAAAGTTAAGGCGACAAAAGTTTGAGTACTGCGGGCAGGAGGGGCGGTGTATGGGTCCAACAAACACTGACTTTCACCTGAGAGAGAGGTGTTTGCTTCCTGTTAGATTATAAAGCCAAACCCTATTCTTTTTTCATAAACCCAACCACGTGCGTTAGATGTTGAAGAAAAAGAAAAACGTCACTTTGCATTGTTTTACTGACGTAGTGCTTTTATTTTGAAATGGTAAGTATGTTGACATTACATTGCCTATGAAAACGGAAGTGAATTTTGAAAGTAGACAATGCATTTAACAGGCAGAACTTGACACGGCGTCCCTGAACATCAACACACATATCTGG